TTTTTATTTCTTTCTTTTTTCTGTCTGTCTGTTTTCTTTCTCTCTTCTTCCTTCTTTCTTTCTTTTTTTTCTTTTTTGTTTCTTTTGTTTCTTTCTTTTTTTTCTTTCTTTCTTTCTTTCTTTCTTTTTTCTTTCTTTCTTTCTTTCTTTCTTTCTTTCTTTCTTTCTGCTTATGTTTATCTCTTTTTCGCTTTTCTTCGATTTTCATTACATTTTTTAATTTCTTTCTTTTTCTTTCTTTCCTTCTTTCTTTCTTTCTTTTCTTTTTCTTTCTTTCTTTCTTTCTTTTAGTTGCAACACTATTTGAAAAGATCAGATAGACATTTTTCTAGATTCGAAAGAAACCAGTGACCAATCTGTCGGAATCGACACCAATATACAAACAACAACGAAATGTTGTAAGCATATGACGGGCTCATATTTTTTGTAAATAGCAAATCTCATCATGATTTATATTGAAAATAATATCCTTTCTTTTGAAGACATTTTTATAATCGCCAGTTACGGGCTTCTTAACATTAGAACGTAAAAAAAACAAAAACGTTTAAATTCTTGCCATCAAATTAAAAGTCTGTCTGATTAAAAGTCAGAATTATTTAAGTGTGTCTTTTTCATAGAATTCTCTTCTACTTTCTCTCTATCTATATATATATATATAGCCTTTTTCTTTCTTTCTTCTTTCACCTCATCTCTTTCTTACTTGTATAATTTGAAAATATCATATAGACGTTCTTCTTTCATCAGGCCTTCCGCAATTACATATGTGTGTGTGTGTGTGCGTGTGTTAAAATTATGTAATAATGCTATCTAAATAAGCTGGCAAGTACTAAAGTTAAATTTATATAACTTAACTAATCTTTAATGTAACAGTATTTCTCTCAATAAAACGCCCATTATTAGACAACTGTTTGACGATTCTAATGTCTTTTGAGAGATTACTTCTCTAATATCAATATTACTAAGAAAAAAAAAGTTATTACATTGGTCACATTTACACCAAATTCTCCCGTAGGTTAACTTGTCACTCGTTGAAACTTATTACCTGCGCAAGTCGATCACCACATCACAAACAGCAAAAGTTCATTTAATTAGACCCACCGTAAATATATATGCTTCTTTAGCTTTGGTAGGATAACCACTCAAGTAAAAGGCTGAATTCGAAGATGAATAAATACTATAGCAGACTGGGTTCATTAAAAAATAAATAATAGTGCAAACTTGGTTCTTTACATTGGGCACGGCCCTTAAAGCCGGAGAATGGAAACACTGCATTAAAACTACTATAAATACTAGAAGAGATTGAGCTCTTTAGCATTCGTAGGGCGACCATTCTAGGAGAAGAGAAACTCTTTTCAAACCGCCATAAACCATAGAGTAGACTGGGCACTTTAATCTTGGTAGAGCAACTAAAAGATAAGAAGAATATTCTGAAGTCAAAACATTAAAAATAATAGGGTAGGCTAGGATCTTTAGCCTTGGAAAGGCAACCAGTGTTGATGTAGTAAAACGGCGAATTCAATGCAATGTAAATAATAGGTCAGATTGGAAAGCCATTTAGAAAGACAACTAGCACGGGAGAAGGAAAACCCTGAATTCGAATCGCCGTAAATTATAGGTCAATGTTTTCTTTGCTTTAAAACATGTCAGTCCAAGAAGTCAAGGAAATTGAAAATTGCCAATTCAGTGTTCTAGTTCCACGTGCCACAGCAGTGGTGAATCCAAAACGTGGAATGTTGAGTTAAAGGGGACTAACTGAGGCATGGCTCGTGCAACTATATAATCTACCCCGGTGAACGAAATAAAGGGTTCGGTTCGACATTCCAATCATCTGAAGAAGGCCGGAGCGTACAACAGTCAAAACGTTGTGAATACGGCAATAAAGATGAGGATAACAGTCCGAATAATATAAATAAAGCAAGTAAATCTAAACATATGCTGAAATTAAATTGATAGATTTTTTGTTCTTAAGAATTTAGAACAAAAATATTAAACACTATTTATTTGTTAGATTCTTTATTTACAAGAAGAATTTTACATTTACAACATTCTAAAAACTAATAAAATTAAAACTAATGCAATGCAACATTTTTCATTTGCCAATTTATAAAGAACTAGCAGTAGAGCCCGGCGTTGCCCGGGAATGTAACAGTAAGAGATAGATCAAGTATCAACCATCATAAAGACTAAAAAATAAAATTGACAAAGATTATTGTTTAAGGTTGACAGACACGCATGTCTTAATTAGTTTTTTTTTTTTACGAATTGGTCAAACCCAAACTCAAACAAAAACATTCTTTTCAATCGTTATGACTCATAACGATTGAATAGAATTTTATTATCAACAATTGTCTTGTAAATGGAATTTTTAAAGCATTCTGAATGTAAAAATAAAGAAAAAAGTGTGCAAGACAATAAGAAACACTACCTGCCAAAAAGAAAAATTTAAGTTTTGTTGAAATCGGTTGAAAAATGTAGGAAATCTGATCCCGTATATAAACGAACACTTAAAAACAACCTGGGTTTTATAATAAGTATAACTCGATATGATTGGCTCCCTTTCATTCTCGACAGCGACGCCTCTTAATCGTGTTTTCAAATTGATTTCGTACAAAAACAATTGTGTTTTTCCAATTTTTGGCGCTGTCAGAACCACCGCAAGGTAATTTTACGTAGTCCTGTGAAGTTTTGTTGAAATCGGTTGAAAAATGTAAGAAATCCGATCCAATATATAAACGAACACACACACACCCACACACAACCTGGGTTTTATAAATATGATATGAAGTATGATTAAATGTGAAAACAATTGTTATTCATAAATTTATAAACTTTTAGTAAATTATTAAATTATATGAACCAACTATAAAAAGATTCCTATTATCTTTTTTAATCATTTACATCAATTCACACGACAATGACACTAGAACGTAGGCGTGGGGGTGGAGCAGGGAGGGAGTGAAAGTGGAGGAGAATGATAAACCTGAGAATAGGGAGGATTGAGGTAAGGACAAAAATGAACAGGCTTCAAGAAGACCGAAAGTAGCGATTAACGTTCCATTTAAAATTTTGAAAATTGTAGTTATTAGGAAAGCAAGAAATCGGAAGGGAGTTCCACAGATGGGAAGAGCGAGAAAAAAAAGCGGTTAGTATAGAAAGGATGGTTGCATCTACCTAGTTCAACAGTGATTTTACCATTTTATAATGTTCGAATCATTCGGCAATTAGCCGTTGTTTATTGTCAACCATACCAATAGTCTCAATAAACAATCTATTAAATAAATAGTGTTTATTATTTTTGGTGTCAATTTTCAAGAACAAAAAAAATACATAAATTCATTTTCATATGTTTCGGTTTAAAATGATATTAAAATTTAAAATTGTAGTAATTTTTTTATTTTTTAATTCTTTATTTTTTATTCAAGAATTTGAAATTCACTTTCATATGTTTAAGTTTTACTCCATTTCTAATCATCGCGTTTTTCATAACAACAAATATTGCCAAGGAATGAAGGTAGTTAAAATAATAGCGGTGTCATGGGAAAAAACGCCTTTTGGCACTATTGCAGGCAGGATTATCTAGGTACCTTCATGGGATCTCTAAAAAGAGTATAGCATGACGAAAAAGACGCCACACTTGACGAAAACAAAACTTTATCATCTAAATGTTTATGCTATTATTAAAAGGAAAGATCAAAGTATTTTGGGAGTATTTTTTATACATTTTTTAATCGTTTCTAGCACGTCCAAAATTTTCGTTAAAAATCTTTTTTTACTCAGCAAAATTGACAGATAATCGATAATGTTATTCATTTTTTCCAATTTATAAAAAAATGAATATCTCAGTTTGAAATTCTTTTAAAAATCAATTATCATTTTTTCAAAACTTATTTTAAGAAATTCAGAAATTATAATGTTTATTTAAAATATTTTGAACCAAGCTTAACTTAGTTTCTGCGCCGAAAAGACGTAGTTTGAAAATAAATCAAGGCAGGTCATAACCTTTCGCGTCACTTGACAAGTGACGAAAGACATTCATGACGTTCTGATAGATTACGTGAGGATAATACCTTCTACGGAAGGAGAGAAGTGAAGTTATTTAGATTTAAGTGAACAAATTATTTACTTTGTTATTTTTAAGGAAGACTTTCAGCGCTTTAATTATTTTTTGTACTTAGCTTTCACCTTTATGTTTACGATGCTTTATGGAAAATATATTATAAAGAAATTAAAATAAGGCTGTTGATAGTGAGATTAAATTTCATAAGAAAGGTATCTAATTAATTTATAGGTGCCTTTCTTATGAAATTTTATCAGAAGTGTACATAAAATATAAAATTTATATTTCATAAGATGATACTGATACTTGTGGATACCCTTCACAGTTGAAATTGAAAAATCAAATTAACTTCTCCACACGTGTTTCGAAAAATAAATCTCAAAAGGACATTTACGAAACTGAATGCGGCTTTTAATTAATTTTATAATATTTTAACAACTTAAAGTAAAAATCTATTGTAATTAAAGAAATAACAAATAATTGTATTAAAAATTCAGTATTTAAGTTAAATACTAGACAGAAACTCAATCCACGTGACTTTTTTTTTTTTTTTTTTCTATTGCACGCATGATACTTCCGGTCTTCCGTAGATTTCATTTACTATGTCATTATTGACACATTATATTTTTTTATATGCTGGTGTTCGTTAGTTTGTAAGAAGCTTTGGAAATTATAATCTGTAAATATATATCTACTTAATAACAACATTCGTTAAAATCTACAAACTTTTCTCTAATTTTAGAAGAATTAACAACATAATGTAAGAATAATAAAATATTTCAGAAATAACAATTGTTTTAAAAATTCATTTTTCAGCGAAATATCTTTTTGCTTTTAGACAATATTGTCGATGGTCATTAAAATAAATAGAAGCAATTAAAATCTTTTGAAATTAAATAATATTTTTGTTTTATTGAATTTTGTATATTACAATTCAGAGATGATTTTCAGGTAGAGGTGGTCCAACTAAAAAAAAACTGAAAAAAAAAACATGATTTGGTTTCCTCAAAGCCTTGTACTTTTAACTAATATAATCACTAATCTGCCCAAAAATGAAATTATAGAGTTTTCGTACAATTAGTTATGGTGTGTGTATGTGTGTGTGTGTGGGGGGGGGAGTAATACATAAGAAAAATATTTTTGCGATGACTTTTAAAACGAAAAACATATTTATAAGTTCCATCATTTGTGAATAATTTCTGAAAGTCTCATTAAAATCCGAAAATTATTTTTATGTTTGCAACATTTTCAAAATTAATATCT